TATGCAGTGTATTATTTGTTGAAACTGTACTTCCGATTTGATTTGAAACTGTCTCATTGCTGTCTGTTTATCAATAAAACTTTGAAAAAAAAAAAGGAAAGGTTCATTTAGCTCATGGTTTCAGAGGTTTCAGTCCATGGTGTCCAAGGCAGAGGTGGTAGGACAGAAGGGCGTGGTGGATCAAAGCTGCTTATATCACGGTGATTGGGAAGCAGAGCACAGGGGAAGAGCTCAGCGAGAAAGACACCCTTCAGAGGCCAAGTGTCACCCACATTCTCCTACTGGGGCCCCCTCCTAACAGTACGTTCAGCTATGAATGTCAGTGACTTAATGAACTGGTAAGTGTAGCATCCCTGGTAAGTGCAGCATTTCACTAGTTAAGTTAGTTCTGTGTCCAAAGTAGTTTGAGAGTTAATGAAATAAGAGACTGCAGACTTCGGGTTTTCTGGCCATGTGCTTAGACCATTGACTGGGATGATGGGTGCAGAGCTTGGAGACTCATCTTAATGTGCTCTTCGCCCCATGGAATGGGCCAGTCGGTAACGCACAGGTTGGCTGGGACACTGCAGTTAGAGCTCAGCCCCCAACCTTTACTTTCTGCTGACCATTCCTTTGATGTGTTCCCTGTATTTCACTTACAAAGTGTGGTGTTTCTCTCTTGGTGGAGCTCCGGTACCTGAGCTGGGATCTAAGAAGTTGGTAAGTTAAGTTTTTCCATTGTAGTCTTAAAATAATTCTCTTTCAAGATTAAATGAGGTCAAACAGAGAATGAGCAAAAACAATGATTCCATTGGATTTAACAGTGTTGATAGATATTTTTGAAATATTTGCTTCAGATTCCTCCTTCTCTGGGAAACAAAGCACTATAGATACAGCGAAAGCCCCCAACTTCAACACCCTTACTTGCCACACTTATCCACAAGGGAAGCCACTAATAGAATCTGTGATTGACATATATTTAGAAGCCAATAGAAATTGATGGCCTTTTCATAAAGGTCATTATGCCTTACATGTGCCTGTTCAGAGGTACTTTTTTTTCCCCCAGAGGTACTTCTTGATGAGGCTCCAAGCTCCTCTGTTTGCATGGATATCTGTGTTTAAAAATTTACAAAGGAAGACATTAGGGAAGGGTGTGGTAAGTGACCACACCAATGACTGTTCCCATAGCAAGGATCTTTGTTACTTTTCTCATTGCTGTGACAACACTACTACCACCTAAAGATACAGAAAGAAAGGCTTATTTTGGCTCACAGTTTGTAGAGGCGTTAACCTGTAATTATCTGGTTCCAAGAAGGCAGGGTGGCATGGCAGAGGGGCATCGCAGGAGAGAAACAGTCAGTGATGGACACTGAGGTAGTGAAGAAGCAGCAAAGCAGTGAGAGATGAGTGTGTGCAGCTCCCCTCTTTTTATCCCTTTCCAGTCATTCTTTGCTCACATCCAGGGTGAGGCACCCCTAACCCTAGCATCTCACTAGGAATCAGTCCCAGCGTCACGTGCTCTAGATTCTGCCTCATTAGAAAAGCCTCAGCTATGACCACATGGGGCTTTGCAGGTACATCTAGACACAAGCCATAACAGTAAGGAGTCTTTTCCCTTGTTTTTTGCCCTTTTACTGCAAATACAAATAGTGAGACTAGCGAGAGTTTTGTAGAATCAGGACATGAGGAGATACCCTTATAAGCTTTGAATTTTTGCTCTGGATAGAATAAACCTTATACAGTTTATTATTATTATTTTGAGGGAACCGGGGATTGAACTCAGGCCCTTGTGCTTGCCAGGAAAGCACTTATTCTACTGAGCTATCTTCCTAACCCCTAGAGTTTAGAAAGAGGAATGTCTTCCTATAAGGGGTGTGTGTGTGTGTGTGTGTGTGTGTGTGTGTGTGTGTTTATGTGGTACTGGGGATTGAACTCAAAGCATTTGTCCTGAGTTACAACCTAGGCTTTTTTTATTTTTTTGTTTTTTTATTTAGATACAGGATCTTACTATGTCACTAAGTTGCCCATCTGCAATCAAACTTGGAAGCTTCCTGCCTCTATCGCGAAGAGTGCTGGCATTACAGGTGTGCTGCACCACACCTGGCTCTTCATTTGGGTTTTAAAGGGAATGCTTTGGTGATCGTGTTGAGAAGAGACCAGAGCAGAGCTAGGAGATCTCTCTAGCAGTTTCTGCCAGGTGTGAAATAACCCATGCTCATGCCAAGTGACATATTGCCCTTCAGCAGGCGCGGCAGAGCCTTTGTGCTTGCTGTTCCTTTTGCCTATGCTGTTCTTCCCTTATGTGTGTTTGTCTGTCTTCAGGTCTCTGTGGCACTTTGGTAGAGAAGCTGGGCTTGATCAGCATGTACAAGATATCAGTGCCTGTCTTAGATATTTTTCTCCTTGTTGAGATAAAATACCCAACACCCTAGGTTGGAGGAGGAAAGGTTTATTGAAGCTCATAGTCTGTAGCGGTTTCAGCCCGTAGACAGTTGACTATAAGACAGGGCAGTAGAACAAATGGGTGTGGCAGAGAAGTCCATGGGAGGGCAGGCAGAAGGCAGCCTGCAGCAGGCAGCAGCTGCAGCAGAGAAGCCTCCCTTTCCCTATTATTCCATCCAAGCTACAAGTCTTTTGGGAGGTGCTATCCACACCCTGGGTGGGCCTTCCCACTTTCCATACCCAAAACTATGCCAAACCAATAAGTGGACTAATCTAGTACCAAACACCCTTAATCTCAATATCATGTGCCCTAGATCCAGCCAGCTGCAGGAAGTTCCATCAATGAGCCCTTGAGATTTTGGGGAGACATCTGGATAGAATCAATCACAATGGTGATGTATACCCTCTATTTCATTTTACCCTTGGGAGACTCAGGGACCATCATGATAGGACAAAAGTCTGGGACAATAAAATGAACCCCTTGGGTACAGTAAACTGTGCATGGTGTATGCATTCCATATCTGTATCCTTGTGCTTTTTTCAGCAGCTCCATCATGAGTCTCTGATAAAACCACAAAATCAGAGTGTTTGCATAAGATGCTGGAATTGTTGCCATTGCAAAGCCTGAATAAACCCTTCAGTTATGCTTGATAATCCTAGTGGACTGCAGACCGCCCGACAGGCTGGTAAGTAGCAGCTGTACTCAGCACTATGATGAACAGGAGCCCATGGGGGAAATTGTGCTACAGCTCAAAGCTGACCTTTGACCCCTGGGCAGAGACTTCCGGTGGTCCATGAAGATGGAGTGCCATAAGTGTGGTGAGATCTCAAAGAAGTGGCACTACATCCTGCCATGGACAGTACTAGAGTGAGGCCATCGTTGAGCCCCCACAGTCTAGAAGAGCAAGCTGTATGTCCAGGAAAACTCCATCAAGATATTGAATGGCTCCACCGAGTCTTACAATGCTGAAGACAACGAGAGAAATGGACTTTAGTTTTCGGATCCAGGCTGGGGGGCTGATGAGGGTGTGGAGTCAGGGGCCACCTTCACTGCCAAAAATTTGCAGAAGGATTGGACTGACTCTGGTTGAAAAGGCTCAGAGTCTGGGAATCCACAAGGCCCATTAGTGATATGGTCTTCCAACACAACTCCCCTTAACCGAGAGGGAGAGCGGCATCTGCAGAAGTACCCACGGCAGCTGGACCCGTCTCCTGCCTCCTGGCAGCTGCACATTCTGTACTTTGCCACAGTTCCTCAGCCCCCCAAATAAGCTTCCCATTTGTGTTTGGATGAAGGAAGAGCCAGAGAGCTGCCATTCTTCCCATAAATAAGAATTGGTCCTGGAGGTCCTGGCTTTCTGGCACAATTTAAAGTCCCTATTTGGAAAATATGCAGGGACACACAGTTTCTAAGGCTCTCCAAGCCATGGAGAAAAGGCAGGTCAACCTAGAGGATCAAGTGTTGAAGCTAGTGCCAAGTAGGACAGGGAAATGCACCATGAGCCAAGCAATCTGGAACCAAAACATGGCACTCACCAGCTTGGCTATGGTCAGCAAGTCTCTGTTGCTGAGCATCATCAGGTCATCTGTCACACTGGTGAGATCTCCAGCACAGTGAACAGAAGTGGTGGCTGAGGGGATCTTCTTCTCCCTCTGACCTTGATTAACCTGATCCTATCAGGAGTGTCGGTAAGAAAGTTCTTCTTGTGCTCCATCAGCCTCTATACTTCCAGGAGTTCTGCTTTTAGATCCTGGTTCATCCTCTGTGGCTATGCTTACTGGTTTTCTGCCTCAGACTACACTTTGAGTTTTGAGGACAGCGGTCACAACCTGCCTGAAGTCACCCCAAAGCAAACAAGATTGCTCAGTGCACTGCTAGGATTGGACACTAATCTTTCACTCTGGTGACCCCATCATTCAGGAAACCTGTTATCCCAGTATTCTCCTGAAGCCTGGGATTCTTTGGAAGAAAAACGTAGTATCCATGTCTCCCACTGTCTGAGAGTAGGGAAGGGGCTCTCCACTCTCAGGCTCCCTGTGGGACTCTTAAGAAATGGATCTTTTTGGTTTCAGACAAACCTTAAGTTGTCAGGGGTGGTGAAGAGGTATCTCTCTCTTACCCTTTCTAAGGTAAGAAATTCACCTGAATTTCCTACTCCTTGGCTTTGGTCTCCCCCAGCCAGCCCCCTACCCACTGAGGCCAGTCCACTGCCTTGACTGGAAGCAAGTAACACAGGAAACACTGAGCTGGGGGTGCAGCCTTTCCTGTGTGTGCCAAGACTGTGTGTTACGTTCAAGAAATCAAACGCTAGAGAGCTCGAGGTTATCTTTGTATTTTAAATTACTCTGCCTCTTTCAAGATGTAGGGGGACAGATTGAAAGAAATATGGAATACATGGTGAACAAATGTAGATAAAGAAGATGGTCAATAAATAGAATATATCGGCTCCGCTCGGAGCCGCCATGACCTCCAAACACTCGGAAAAGAAGCAGGTGCCGCAGAAGAACTCCGCGCACGGTTATGACCGATCCGAAAAACTGTACCCTGTTGGTAGTCATGTACAATCCAGTTCTGGTGAGCAGAAGAAGGGGAAATTCCAAATCTGGCCAGAATGGAGTGAATCTGACATAAATGCAGAAAAGTGGGATGCAGGCAAAGGAGGGAAAGAAAAGGGCAAAGCAGGGAAAAGCCCTGTACTTCATTTTTTTGAAGATCCTGAAGGAAGGATTGAATTGCCGCCATCATTGAAAATTTATTCCTGGAAACATCCACAAGATTTTGTGATGAATCGGACTCCAGTAGTAGTGAAAGATGAGATCACAGTTGACTTGTTTTCAACAAATGAACATTTGTTCTGCAGTGAGTTGATGAGATGGATTATCAGTGAAATCTATGCAGTATGGAAGATACTCAATGGAGATATTTTGAACAATTATTTTAAAGCAGCTTCTGTGGAGCATCCTGTTCTCCCCTGGAAGCCTTGGGAACATATATATTCCCTGTGCAAGGCTGAGAAAGGTCATATTCCTTTGTTCAATAGCTATGGAAAGTATGTGGTAAAACTTTATTGGATGGGTTGCTGGAGAAAGATAACTATTGACGACTTCCTGCCTTTTGATGAAGATAACAATGTGTTGCTTCCAAGTACAACCTGTGAATTTGAACTCTGGCCAATGTTGTTGTGTAAATGCTATCATTAAGCTGGCAAATGTTGACATCCATGAGTCTCCGAGGAAAGAGCTGGGAGAGTTCACAGTCATTCATGCACTCACAGGATGGTTACCAGAAGTCATTCCTCTCCATGAAGACTATGTGGACAAAGTTTGGGAATTCCTAAAAGACATATTGCCCGAGTTTAAGCTGTCAGATGAGCCCAGCTTTGAAAACAAGTTACCAGCATTAGATACAAAGTTAAAAGAAGCAGGCAAAACTGTGAAGGATGGCAAAGAAGGAAAAGATGGAAAGGAAGTGAAAGAGTTGAAGGAATTCAAACCTGAACCTTCTGTAACGACGCTGAGAGGATTCGAGAAAAATGACAAGGTTCTCAAGGGTGAGATGCTTTACTCCAAAATGCTACCCAATGTGAATGTCCCATATAAGAGTCCACAAAAAAATATACACACATTTCAGGAAAAGAAAAAGTTGTATAAATACTTTAATACTACATTCATTGAGTGACCTGGGGCTAATACAGGCTACCTCCAGCCTCCCAAGTTACAAGAGGTGCTCAAAGTGCGGGCCATTAGCTTCCAGGCATTAATTAGTAGGGTAAAGTGCTTCGTGGGTAACCTTGCTCACTGAGATTTCAGCAAAGGCATTTTCAACTTCTTCTCTAAGTGCTGACAGTGTAGTGGGTTCTCTGTGGTATGACATCCTGTAGGGCCCATACGCCAGGATAATGCCACCTGCTGAAAAAACATTATGCTCTTTTCTTTTCCTGAAGTTGATAAAGCTTTTTTGTTCATGGTAGTCCACTGTCCTATTGAATCTAATGGGGCTGAGGAGATGGCTCAGTGGAATAAGCGCTTCCCTGGCAAGCGCAAGGTGCTGAGTTCAATCCCCGGTTCTGGAAAAAAAAAAAAAAAATCCATCCTATTGAATCTAATGCTCCTTTGTTGTCCCTACCTTAAGAGCTAGGAAAGCAGCCATGTAATTCAAATCTTTTGTTTCTAGACCTTCAGGATTTATCATAGTGCTTACTGTATATTAATTCTCATTCCAAATTTTATAAAATGAATGTCGTCCTCTACTAAGTTAGTACAATATCAATATAGGAAAATACAGGGAATGCTAACTTTCCATCAGCATGCCTTGATCAGAGGTGGATGAACCAAAACAGAAAAGGAGAAAAATGCTTCTTTTTTGTTTAGGGGTTATGAAATAAGCACAGATTTTATAATAATTTATTCAAAGGTGGAAGTTCAGGTCTGAAGAAAAAATAATTTCAATTTACTTTAGAAAGAGCAGAATTTTTTTCCCAAATTGAAAACTAATATTATTTATTTTGTGTCTACTAAAATATATGGTTATACATGTGAACAATAATGTTTGTAAAATAAAATTAAATAACTAACAGATAAAAAAATAAATAAATAAATAAATAGAATATATCAATGAAAGTCAACACCCAGTTAATATAAAATCAAGCTCTTAGCGAACTAGGAATAAAAAGGAACTATCCTAACCTCACAAAGGCTGTCTACAGAAAACCTATAGCAAAAGCAAGTGCCATGTCTAATAAGTAATGAAATGTTTATTAAAGGTTTATCAAGGTCAGAGGGAGAAGAGGATCCCCTCAGCCACCACTTCCATTTACTGTGCTGGAGATCCCACCAGTGTGGTAAGACAATAAAAAGAAATTCAGGGGAAAGCATAGAAAAGGAAGAAACAATTCAACTTGTTACAGATTATGATTTTCTACTTAGCAAGTCCAAAAGAATTAACAGGTATTGGAATTAAGATCAACATCCAGAAATTAGATGCATTTTAATACAATACTAATAAACAAAATATGAATCAAGAAAGATAATAGTTATAGTAGCAAACAAAAAATAATCCCTTATAGTAATGAAGAACAGATCTTTGAGGGCCGGGGAGATAGCTCAGTAGGATAAGTGCTTGCCCGGCTAGCACATGGTCCTGAGTTCATTCCTGGTACTGCAAAAGAGAGAGAGAGAGAGAGAGAGAGAGAGAGAGAGAGAGAGACAGGGAGAGACAGAGACAGAGAAAGAGAAATAAGACAGAGCAGGAGGGAAGAAGGAAAGGAAGGAGGGTGGGGGAAGGAGGAGGGAAGAAGTTATAGGGGGGCAGGGTGGAGGGAGGGAAGGAGAAAAGGGGGGAGGATGGGAGGGCCTTCCCTGTAGCAGCTCCAAGACTGAGGGAGGCAGACAAACAGCCGAGGGACAGCACTGCC